TAATCAACTGGATGCTGGGGTGAAACAGCTACGAAAGCTGCGCAAGCTGTAATGTACCGGTGGTACTGCTGGCGAGCGCGGACAACGCCGTGACTAGGGTTTACATTTTGGCAGACATTTTGGCGCCAATTTTGAATAGCTTTGCTAGCTGCTTTCCCGATAGCTTTAGCTTAGCTTAGCTTAGCTTGAGATTTGAAAAAGCTAAGGCTAAATAGCTTAGCTTCGAATATTGAAAAGCTAAGCTAAGCTAAGCTAAGCTGCAAAAGCTAAGCTAATACCAACTATATTTTATTCCCGTATTAACCAGTTATAAACAAGTTCCTACAATAGTGCGAGATCTATTTCACACCTCCAAGCACAGCACATTAAAATATAGGAATTGCATGCAAAAGGCATTTATCGGACGTATAACTGCTGCTAACGCTAGCTGAATGATGGCGCGAAAAAAACTGCCGCGAAAAATATTGGATTTGCGTCTTAGCTTTAGAAACGCTTTTCTTCCATTCAAATTTATCAGATTGTGTCTTCCAATGGATTGGCAAAAGAATTCCATTTTGTTTCCATTCTGCCAGGATCAAACTGACGACCTTCAGATTATAAGACTGACGCTCTACCAACTGAGCCAGAGGAGCGCCAGATACACGTAGTACGAATGGACTTAAAGATTGCTAACAGTTAACACTTGGACATTGAAACAGCAAAACGGATGTTTCAAAGCTATTGATGTTTTAATTCACGAAAACCATATGAACACACTCAGTGCAACTAAAATTGTGAGAGTATCTTAGCTCGGGAATGCTTTGAAGCATACATAGAACCAGAGCGAGCCTCAGTCAAACCCTGAAGAACCAAGTATCTCGTCGCTTAGTCTGCGAGCTATTTACGAAGCACTCTAATTCGATCATGTTGGTCTTCAGTCTTCGGTAATTCAACACGGGGAGAACAACATCGTTGCAAACGAGCACGCTCGGTATCTGGCTCGAAACTTGCTAGCTTGACGTTAGCAATACCGAACATTCACGAGCTAACCTCGAGCCTGTGCACCTTGATAAGCTGCTCGCCAATGGCGCGCACGAAATCTTGTTTTGAGGCTGCTATATTTAGAAGCATGGTGATCGAGTAGACCGCTTCGTAATGGTGATGTTCCAGCACATCATTAATGTTGGAACTGCCAGTTTTCTAGCTTCTGCTAAGTGGCCAACACTACCGGATCCCACTGAAAGTCACTTAAACTTTATCCGAGTGTAGTGCGGGTACATGGTGGCAGAGCATATAGCACTTGAGGGGAAAGCAGATCAACCGCGAGAACCTTGACGCACCCGCGACATTAAGCCCTCCTGAGAACTCAACTCGCTGCAATCGCCGCAAAGGTTGTCTCAGCTGTGTTGCTTCAGCACGACCCTATCATGCGTTCGTTCTCGTTTGCTTTCAAGTCTTTAATTCAACTTTGGCTCGCCACTGTTCATGCGGCGTTTCTCTAATGCATATTTTATCCCACAAGCCGCCGTTACGCCAAGTCCTCCGACTTTCTGGCCGCAAGGCCGCCTGGTTTTCAGCGCGCAACTTCTCCCGTTTCACGCGTGCCGTACTCAAGCAGCAGTGAGCTGCCTGTGTCCTCGTGACAAGGTCGGCTCCCGATGGATCGACGTTGTTGCCCACGTGTCCCAGCCCAACTCTGTTGGGCATGAGCCGATATCTCTGATTTCCTACCCTAGCGCATCCTCATCCGAGGTTTCAAGGTGTGGTTTCCAGTTTCCAGTCGCCGTGTTACCCTAACTTTCCGGTATGAAGGAGTTAAGCAGTCCCAGTTCAAGACCGGCACCGATCCTGTGGTACTGTGGAATGCTGTTCACTTCAGAACCGGGAGGTCCAGGGTTCAATCCCTGGGTTAGGTAGAGCGAGGTTAGAGTGTGATGAATAAAACCCTACAGCACGCGCTTGACATGGCTTACACGACTTCAAAATAGGGGTGACGTTCTAAAAATTACCCGATACAAGACCGGCGTCCCAAGTCGCAGGAATAAAGTAAATATTAATTTTATGATAACGCATAATTATCGGCCAATAGATCTTTCAGAAAAGGGATGCTGGGTTGAATAAGCATTACAATGTATCCACGTACAAAATCTTGCTTCGTAAGATTAATTTGACAATTGGAAATCTTCATGTTAGACACGGGATGTTGATGCATCGCTTCAATTTGAAGCTTTTCCCCTATATGAACAGCAAGATCGTCTTCAGTAAGAAGCGATCAGATTTTGGCAAGTCTTTTAATAGGAATCAGCCTGTGAAGCTACAAATATCTAGGTGATTGCGAGTACGATGACAGGACTCGATGTGTCTGCGGTCTGGGTAAATTATTTTAATCAAATTCATTTATTCATAAGTACTTTCATAGTCAGCTTTGGCAGCAAGCATCGTGAAACAAGCAAAAGTTGTGATGATTACAAACGCGTGATGTCGACATCAATCAAGGACATATTGGCCTGGAACAATAATTTCAAAAATGCCTCGCTCATCAAAACTATCAGGGTTTAGCATTTCGCCTCAAATACTCAAGTTGAAATTGTTCGCGTACGTTGCATAGCTACCTGGCCTTGGAGAAGCCTTTGAATCAGACCTGCATCAAGTATCTCCAGTATTATTAGAGGCCTATTAGCGCCTTCTAAGTTTGCATGGATGGATGTAAGAATCAAGGTGAAACCTTGAAGTTACAGCTTTGTTCGATACTTTAGCAAATCAAAACATCGGTGCTAAAGCAAAAATATCCTAATGACTTATGATCCTGGCAGCTCGCCGCTGGTGCCAACTCAGGGGACCGTGTCAACCATGATCTTGGCCATATCGACATTTTAGTCACCGGGTGAAGTGCATCGGTGGTCGTTAGAACAAATCCTCCGGATATTCATAGTAAAAGCATTTCATGCTTGTTTCAGTCGGACTGGTCCTCTCGATGAATGGAAGGAATTGGATATTTCCGCTAAAAATGAGGAGTAACCGTCTCATTATCTTCGACCGATAAAATATGCTCAACGAACGAAGATTTGAAGTGGTACGATCTGTATGGACATCATGACGGTGCAATGCCAAAACTTCGTACCTGTGGGCCCTTGGTGATGAAGCGCGTTTTGGGCGGTTAACTATAATTTATGTGTATCCTCGTATTGTCAACAAAATCGTCAAAGACAAGATATATTAATTCCTCGAAATATCTTGTCTTCGTGTGTGACCTGCGTACCTCACCATATCTCTAAGAGTATTTAATGAATTAATCACTACTTTTATCAGCACATATGTAGAATGCGGTAGTGCGAATATTTACTGGTAAGAGAATATTTCGGTACAACAAGGCGCGCAAACAAAGCCGAGCCAAGCTTGCAGCAGGGCTGCCATAGCCCTTTGCTTAGAGGAAGCTGTTTATGGTACCGATGTTTCGTTCTATACTAGTCCCAGTACAAGTGTAGCGGATCGCATTCCGCTACCTCCAAGAGTACCAAAAATTTTAACCCAAGGCAAATCTACTCCCGTTCAAAACGTTGAAGACGTTCTTTGCAGAGTCTTGCGCTGAGACGCCGAAGCGCTGGAGCGCTATGTTGCCACTCGTAGAGTTTGCTCTGAACAATGCATTGCATCCATCTGTCAACTATACGCCGTTCTACGTGAACGGGCTTGTTCATCCTGGCGTCCCGCTGACGCCGCCAACCCATGGCTCAGGACTTGGTGGGGAGGAATAGCCGGGCGGCTAGCTGCTGTCAGCTCCCTCACCGCGCGCAAAGAAGTCTGAGACTTCCTGTCTACCAGATTGAGTATCTTACTACACGTTCGCGATGCGATGACTGAAAGCCAAGACATGCAGAATGAATATGCAGGCGGAAGAGGAGGAAAAATGTTAAAAACGTTGAGGACGGAGATCTGAATGGTTGAATGCTAGAAAACTTCCTACATATGCACTTTCTGCTGTCTTTAAGACGAAGCTACGTCCACGGTATAGTGGACCTTTAAGGTCTTGGCCAAGCGAGGCCTAGCGTATACGCTGAACCTTCCGAGAATGATGCGCATCCACCCGGTGTTTTATGTGGTCTTGCTTAAGCTGTACCGGAATCCGGTGCAAGTGAACGCGGAAGCGTTGGTGCCAGGGCGAGTGCCCAAAGGCGCTCGTCCATCCAGAATCTGAGCCAGTAACTGGTTTTGAGGATGGAGTGCAACGATCTCCGTTTCCAACGGCGCCAAGCGCTCCACCGTTGCATGATGCGACGCATTCGTCTGCCTGACAGCTAGGAGTATCTCCGACAGATCGCAATAGTCTTCAACGCGAGACAGTCGGTGCACAAAGTGCTGGAAGCGGTTGAGAGACACCACCGCTGTTCGTTTAGCGACGGAGACTTGTGTCATTGTGCTGAGGGTCCCTGTGGACCTCGGCGTCAAGTTTCTTGACTTTGATAGCGTGGAATGCTGTCTTGTCTTAGATTTGGATTCAAGGTATGACCTTATCCTTGGTATGGCATGGTTGGAACACTATGAGCCATAAATTAATTGGAGGCCGAAGATCTTGGGCGCTATGCGCACGTCTCCTAGTGGAACTTTGGTAAGTCATGAACCCACTTCTGCTTGGAAGCAGAAGCGCTATTGATGCGGGCACTCGACCAGGACGGTCAATGTGCTGGATATCGGAGTATCCGAGTTGTCAAACACCAAAGGTGTTTTGAACAGGAGTCTCGAGCGTGGCTCGCAGGCTAAACGTGGAGTTGCGCGCAACCCACTGAGCACTTCTCACGTTACGAAGCAGTTGCTGCGTGCCAAGAATGGCATGGCCGGACCAGGTCCGAGGTATCAAGGGCGAGGCCCTAGTGATTCGCGTGGAGCAGCACGAATTCCACTGAGCACTGCTCATGTTTCAAAGCAATTGCTGCATGCCAAGAGTAGCATAACCGGACGAGGTCTGAGACATCTTGGGTTAAGCCCTTCTGATGCGTGTGGAGTGGCACGTTATCCACTAGACGAAGACTGCGGAATTAGCAGCTCTTCGTCGGATGTTGTTAATAGCATCAAGGCTCTGATAGAGCAGGAAGTGGAGACACTGGGCGACGCCGAGTGCGTATACTCACTAGCCTCGACGAGACGTAAAATCTCCAAGAGAGATGACGGCGATACCGTGTATTTTCTTCAAGACGCAGGGCGTCGACCCTGATTCAGGTGTGTCTACCGTAGACGATAGCGCAACCATATATTGCTGTAAACGGTATGACGGGAGAGGAAGACAGCGACGTCTCCCTCGAGGTTATTCTTGCGGTGGATGCTCTTCTTGAGCTGGACGAGTTGTCCTCCAAAGAGTTTGGCGGTGCCTAAAGGCAGGCGATTTAGCCGAGGTGGTCATTATACGACCGAACGAGGAGATTAACTCGTCGTCGCTTCTGGATGAAGTTGTCCTGGTGGACACTAAGAGGGTGTTGAATGAACGAAGTGGATCTTCGAACCTGAAGGATCCATCGGATCCATACTATCCTTTGGTAAAGGAGTTTTAAGATGTCGTCTTCAAAGACCCGCCGTCGGTCCACCCTCCGGACCGAAGTGTGCGTCATGAGATCGACCTGCTTCCGGGAACCAAATACTGCGTAACACGCCAATAACCCCTGCCCAAGGAGCAGTGTGGTGTCATTGACGCCTTTTTTAGCAACACACGACGCAGGAATGGTGCGTGAGAGCAAGTCTCCCCATTCGACACCCACGTTTTGT